GTAAACTTATAAAAAATACATACCTGAAAATGAAAATAATAAGAGCGATAAAGAGTTAGAGCTCTATGGTAGAGTCGTGTTGATAACGTGTTATAAAATATGATCAAATAACAAGATAAATTATAGAGTAAAGAAAGACATGAGAGTGGAGAGAACTTTTATTCCAATACTTGTGATGAAATCATCAAAACTTTACAATACATAATATTCACTATTTATACTAGACAAAGAAGATGAAAGGTGATGTATGATATGAATGCTCATTATAGTGGTGCATAACTACACTCATAAAACTCATAATAATGTTTGTTATAATGTTCACTAATTATGGAGAGTAATGGGAGAATATGGAGAATCCAATAGTGATTCACTAAATAATAATTCATAACAACATGTTTTTTAGATTTAATCTCCTTCTCTTAGTTATACATTTTATCTTTTAAATGCTAACTTGTAGTTTTATTTAATGATGGTATCGATATAAATTATTGTAAACATTAAAATGAAGTTTTTATTATTTTCAAAACATATATGATTAAAGATTAAATATGAAAGTACACTCTTTACTTTTTTTTGAAGCAGCAAACGAGATATATATTAAAATAAAACAGCTACACTTAGCAAGATGCTAAGGAGCAAATTGCAGAGTACACATCAGTTCAAAGAGACAGTTACATAATAGAATTACAATGAGAGAAATCTGATATGCTCCATTCCGCCCAATTCCCACATCCGAGCTTACTTTTGTGTTTGCACCACAAGTAGGAGTTAGAAATAACATTGTCTGCCACCTTTGTGTGAGAAGTTTTCTATTCCTTAAATACTCTATCATTTCTTGCCTTCCAAGATGTTCCAGAGTACACAATACACAATGGAACTGAAGAGTATTCGTTCCTTTGGGCAGTTCCCCCAAGATGTTGCAAAGTCGATGATCTCCTTAATATGAAAAAAATCGTGTGTTTTGATACCACACCATTTGAAGATCCACTCACGGGTCCCTTTTGCAAAATCACATTTAACGAAGAGATGGTCAACAAATTCAGGCTTATTGTAGCAGAATTGACACAATGGGTTGGGGATTGATACACCTCTTTCAGCCAGTGTCATTGCTACAGGAATTCTAGATTATGAAGCTCGCCATATGAAACATCGAACTTTCAATGGTACCATTTTGTCCCAAAAGATAGGTGAACCATGTTGGGGGTTGACTTTTGCATCTATGAATCTTCGCATGGTGTTGATAGAATAAGATCCATCCGAATTTAGCGTAAATTTGAAACCATAAGGGGATCGAGGTGGGATCTCCATAGAGCTGATACATGAGTATAATTGCCATAGCTTCGTTAAGGTTGCAGCATCATTTGAGTTTTGTTTCCAGTTCCAAGTGAACCCCAAGGTTGACAACCTCTCCTATAGCCTGCAACATTTTACCTTTTCTCTGTTGTATAGGCCTGGGAACCGATCTTGAAAAGGGGAGTTACCGCACCAGCTTCCAGAAGAGGATATTGGAACCACATCCAGGAGTCAGCTTGAATAACATGTTCCGGTCAATGCTAATCTCATCTAAGTGGCGAATCGCCTTGTATATTTTGCACCATACCCATGTCGATGTTTTCCTTGCAATGTATGTTACGAGTTTCTTTTTTAGGTTGTGAATGCTTATTATAACCTTTCTCCAAAGTTTATCTCTTTCGTTTCGTAGCCTCCACCACCACTTTGTGAGTAGAGCTATATTCTGAGCTTTTAACAACCCAACCTCGAGACCTCCATCTTTTATTCTGCAATTACCTTGGACCAATCCACCCAGTGTAGCTTGTTTTTGTCTTGCCCCCTCCCTATAAGAATCTGCGCCTTATTTTTTCATGGAGGTCAAGAATGCCCTGTGGCGCTTTAAACAAGGACATACAATAGGCTGGAAGGTTGTTTAGAACCGATTTTATTAGGGTAAGGCGCCCACCAAATGAAAGAGATTTGGCTTTCCAGGTTGATAATTTTTACTTAAACTTATCTACAATATGCTGCCAATTTTTCTTTAGTGCCATATTCGCACCAACTGGAACCCATATACGTGAATGGAAAGGTACCTTCCGTGCACCCCAGAATTCTTGCCAATCATTGAACCTCCTGAGAAGATACTCCTATACCAAAAAGTTTGGATTTGAGGAAGTTTACTTTGAGCCCAGATGATATATGGAAACATTTGAGAATCCATGATAAGTTCTTTATGCTTTCACTGGACCATTCACCCGCAAAAATAGCGTCATCTGCATAGAACAGATGAGAGATTAATGGGCCATCATTTGGAAGTTTGATGCCTTTGATTAACAATTTGCTGCAGGCGTTGTTGATTGCTATGTTCAATCCTTCCATTGCTATGATGAAGAGAAAAGGCGATAGGGGATCACCCTGCCGGACACCTCGTGAGATGGGAAATTCCGTTGTTGGGGACCCGTTGACAAGCACTAAAGACATTGATGATGCGAGACATCCCCTGATCGAAGTTCTCCATTTGGATCCAAATCCCATTTGCATCATAATTGAGTCCAGATAATTCCAATTAATACAATCAAAAGTCTTTTCAAAATCGATTTTGAGGAGGAATAGTTTTTACTTGAACTGTTTGGCCACGAGAAGATTTCATTGACTACAAGGGGAGCATCTAGAATGTTCCTACCATGGACAAATTGAATATCACTGATTACGGATCCAATTATTGATTTGAGCCTTATGGCAAGAACCTTGGCGATGATCTTGTACATACACCCGATAAGACTGATAGGTCTATAATCTGCAAGAGAATTTGGATCACCAACTTTGGGGATCAAAGTGATGAAAGACGGGTTGCATCCTTTTGCCAGTGATGCGTTTTGCTCAAAGTATTTAACAAAATTGATGATGTCACTAGACATTAGTTCCCAATTTTCTTTTATGATTTTAAAGGTAATGTCATCGGGCCCCGGAGCCTTGTCGCCACCGCAGCTCCACACTGCATTCTTTATTTCCTCAGGGGTTATAGAAAGTTCCAGTGACTGTTGTTGGTCCAAAGATAGTTGCTTGAAGAGCGGGCAAATTAATAGGGGTCGAATTGGCCAATTTTCTTTGAACTTATTGGCAAAGAACCGGAATGTTTCCTGTTTTATTGACTCGGGGTTCACCTCCCAGGACCCATTGATCAAGAGACCATGGATTTTATTTTTCCTGTTCGTATTTTTTAGCGAGCCGTGAAAGAAGCAGGAGTTCTCGTCCCCGTCAGTCAACCATTTAATTTTCGCCTTCTGCTGAAGGTCGAGTTTGGCAATGTGTTCCAATTCCAACAATTTAATTTTATCCTCCCGCCATGTTATCCTTTCAGATTCTGAAATGTACCTGGTCTCTGCTGTTCTTTCCATCCCATTCACATTGGACCTTATTACAGTTAAACGAGCCATGACCATTTTTGGAGTCGTCCTTCTTCCATTTTCGAATTTGATTCTTTACATGTTTTAATTTTGCACTAAGGATTACAATATGTCTAATGGATTACCATATGTCTAAGTAGCTTGGACGCCTAGATAATTATTTTGCATGCCTAGGTAATTGGTTCCTACATGTCTCTTTGTGTCTCTAAACGTTTGGTTTTATCAAGATATTTTTTCACCATACATTTATTATATCAATTAACTTTTTCTATATAAAATGTATAATTAGCCAAAAAAAAATTCTTTAATTTATTTTAATTTAATGATACAAACTTTTTCATAGCCAAGAAGCCCAATTAACAAAACACATCAACTATTTTAGTTGTATCAACAAAACTTATAATATTTTTGTCTTAATTCTTTATATGAAACTTTGATAACGAATTAGTATGTGAATTAGTCATAATTTATCTAGCTAATAAATGGATACAAAAAAAAAATATAACATATAATGGAGTTAAAAAAAAATCTACATTAAAACTAAAATCAATATTCATATGTATTTTTGAAATTTATTAAATGATAAATCATGTATCGGTATATTACATTATTATACTAAATAATAAATGTACTTTACACTTGACAAATTCCATTATTAAATATCAATATAAAGATATTACTTTTATATATTTTAAACAAGAGACTAAACAAATAAGATAATTATATTAGATTTTATGGTAGAAAAAAAAAGTAAGAATTAAATTAATTAAATAACTAAACATATTATTATAGAAAATTACAGTCAGAATATCAAGTACTGTTTCTTATCTTTCCAAAACATTTTTAGTGATGATGGCATATAAAAAAAATAAAACGTGATCATAGAAGACATTAAAAGTCTTCACCATATATTATTATATTAATTAATTTTATTTACATTAAGTTATTAAGTTATTAACGATTTTAAAGTTGATTTATTTTTTATTAAATTGTTTGTTTATATTACGGAACGAATATAATGATTTTAACGTTAATTTATTTTTTTGATATTCGTCAGCTTTTATTGGTTTTATTATTTTTAGTTTATTTGATGAATTTTATATATATATATATATATATATATATATATATATATATATATATATATATATATATATATATATAAAAGCTAGGTTCAGGTATTTAAAGTAATTATTGTGTTATTGTATGCAATAATGTGGGCCAATCAAAATTAAATAAATAAATAAGGGTAATTTAGTAATTTGATTAGTAACTTCAAAAATAATCTCTATAATCATGGTATTGACTTTTAACCTAATTTCTCAGGTTTATATTAAACTCGTTTTTTTTTCTTTACTCGCTCAATCTCCGCCGATTACAAGCCCTAGCCGATAATACAAAGCCGTCGCCACCATGGTCCGCCCCAAATTTCTCTAAAAGTCATCTTCCAAAACCTTCATCCGCCCATTTCTGCTTCGAACTCCTAGTTTACGTCTCCAAGCTACCCGTCGTCCTCCTAGTTATCCTCAGGTTATTTCCAGATGTCAGATTATTTAACTACGTTTACTATGTATTGTTGGGAACTCTTCATTTGATGACTCGATGGATCAGGAAGGTGAGAATTCGGCGGCGGATCCTAGGACATGGAATCGGAACCGTAATGATATGACTTTCTTCGGAGATTACGATGAAGACGATGACGAAGATGATGAGGAGGAGGAGGAAGATGACAGGAACATGGATCTTCTGATTGGGTTTGTTGAGAACGTGTTTAAGAAGATATCTAAGCGAGCTCGCAAAGCCGTTCGATCTGTTCTTCCTATCAATATCCCCACCAAATTGGTACTGATTTGCATTTCTCAAGTTATCAATTTGATCCAATTCGTAGGTTTTAGCTGGTTTTTACTACAATTGAGTTCATATTACTAAAAATGGGGCAAACTCGATTCAAATTCCATTCTGATTTATTCGTTTATACACAAAATAAACGAACTACCAAGATTTTTTCTTTCCCAATTTGATCCTTTTTATATATGCAAAGTCAGCAGCTTTCCGTTATGTTCTTGATATGTATTCAATTTCAACCTTTCATTAACCTACTTACATCTTTTTCTGAAATTGGCTATAAAAACTTTCATCTAATACCTTGTATCTTGCATTCTTACTTTACATTGTTCATTCTTTATTACCATACGAACTTACTATATGCTCAATGCCTTATATAGGTGGGATTCTCTGTTAATGGAGTTATAATCACGAATTCCAATTCTGTTGGAATGGAATCATGAATTCTAATTCTGTTGGAATCGAGTCACGAATTCCAATTCTGTTGGAATGGAATCATGAATTCTAATTCTGTTGGAATGGAGTATGGATTTTTTCTCACTGATTTATGCATGTTCTACAATTCTTGGTTATTGGTTTTGGTGCAATTCACAAGTCCATATATTTTTCCAAAGGAATTTTGTTTTTTATTTTTCATTTGCTAATGCATTATTGGAATCTAAACTACAATTTGGTTTTCTTTTCACAGAAGTCGATGCTTGAAGAACGGACCACAAAATTGAAAGTGATTCTAAGCAACATTATTCTTTTAGAATGTATTAGTGTCGTTGTTAGATTTTGATGTTTTCTTTTCCGTTTTGAAAGTTTTTTTAGTTTTATTCTTTAACAATAAATGTAATTCTTAACAATTGTTACCCGTATTCTATAAGAAATTATATATACAATAACACAATAATTAATTTGAATAGAATAACCTAAGCCTATATATATATATATATATATATATATATATATATATAATATATATATATATATATATACTAGCCGTATACCCGCGCAATGCGACGGGCGGCGAATACTTTTTTTCGACAATTAGTTTCTTTTCGGGACGAAAACCAAGAAATTGTCTAGCTAAATCATGCATACTTACCACTATAACTTCTATTTAGAATGCAATCCCAAAGGTTACATAAATCTCACACTTATTCAACCACTTTTTTTCCCTTTAGTGGTTAACAATGTTATAACTTGTTTTTATTCAAGGAACGTAAACTACAAGTCTTTTTAGCCATATGAAAGCAACTGAGCTATAAGTAAGAACTAAGATACATAAACTAACATTACATCCAAGCATATGTTCGTTAACACTTTTTCAGGAAAAACAAGAAAAAAAGCATATGTTCCATCAAAGCGGCGGTGACGAATAGTTTCATTCGCCAATTAGTTCTATTTGAAAACATGTTATATATTTCAAGAAACACAAAACATATACTTGTTATTATCAGTCAGTTTTGCGGAAAAAATAGTTTTCTTGCATCAAATAGTTTCTTTTGGCGATTATATTCGTTTCAACGATTAGTTTCTATACAGAAACATATGATCTTCTAAAGAACATATAATACATCAAAATTTGATTGCATCACACAAAGTCGAACACACTGTTTTGGTATTATGATGTTATCCCGAATTGCGCCGCCATTATAAAGTTCTTCGGGTTTTTAAGAACGGACTGAAATTAGTCTCATTTCGGAAAATACTTTCTAGGCGTTAATTAGTTTCCTTTCTTCAAATAATTTCCTTTTGAAATTTCAAGAAAAAAAATATTTGAAAGAACAATGCCACCTTCGCCTTGTTGTTAATTTGTTTTTTTAGGTCTAAAAACCATTCCGTTTGTTTCTTGAGTTTCACCGTATCATACTTTAGAGTTATGTTTTTCTTGTTCTATTTTTTGTTTTAAATTTTATTTTTTATATTTTAGATTAAAAATTTCCTTTAAGTGCCTGCAAATCTAAATTGAAGAAATTAAGATTAAGCACATATCACTTCTTTTTGTATCCACCATAGGAGCACCACCTAAGATATCAATCATAGTATCCAGCCAGCCCGCCCACCAACCAACCAACCTAAAAGTATTGATGATTATTCATTAGAGGAAATGATAAATATGAAAGCGTAGACATTAAATATAGAAACATACATTAAAGCAATAACTAAGGTATGAGTCATGTTCGAATCTGTCTGCAGATCATAGACCTACTATCACCGTTCAATCATCAGAGAGCAGGTGCTCTAATGTGACAACCCAAAATTTCTAACTTATACATTCTTCATCTTTATCAAAGTTAGCCTCGTTTTTGCTATTTTGTAATGAAGTTTTGGGTCTATATAAGTGCATTAGGCTTAGTATAATCAAGATATAAGTCTTAGGAAGGGTTAGAATGTGTGTAGCATCACAAAATCGGGCCAAACACACCAAACAAGGTGTGTGCGGCCGCACACCCGAGTGTGCGGCCAGCCAGCCGCACACAGCCGACCGCACACCCTCCTAGCCTCACACTCCAGCCTATATAAAGGCCCCTAAGTCAACCTTACACCCTTTTTCCCACTCCTTCAAAGCTGGAACATTTTTCTCTCTAGAGTTCTTCAAGTTTCTTCTCCAATCGGCAATACAAGTAAGTAAACATACTTAGATCATTACTACAACACCTTAGAAAGCTTTTTCCTCGAGTTTGATCCATGAAAGCATCGTTCTTAGATGATCTTCATGCGTGTACGGCTGCACACACATCATGTGTGACCGCACACACATCTTTTGGTCCTAAAATGGACTTAAACACTCATCTAAGCATAACAATGGCCAAAACACCATCTTAGGATCATCCCCAAGCCTTGGAAAATCGATTTGGACACATTTAGGTGGGGGTGTACGGCCGCACACAGGCCTGGCCGCACACTCTGGCCGCACACCTGGCCGCACACTCACAAAAATTGAGTTTGGTGGCCTTACACCCAAATCTAAGGCCCTACACTCATTTAGGGACTTCAAGGGGTGTTTGTAACACTTGATTCTAGGTGTTTTCATACCCCTAAGGCGTGTCCAAGTGTCTATTAGTGGTTTTATACCCTAAGTGTATTCATATATGTGCTATTACATGAAAAATAGGATTCGTTTGTGCTCAAGACTTCAATTGACACCCGGCGACCCTATATCGACCTTTCATTCGAATTACTCACTGCAGGTGAGTTCATACCCCCTTAATCAACCTTTCAAATGTTTTTAAATGCTTTTATGGGGGGGGGGGAATACAAGTTGAATCAAACTAGTTATAATATCAATCACATGTGATTTATAACTTGCAAACAAATGGATTTTCTATATTTTTAACTGCTTTATCAACAAAACTACTTCAAAATGGTTATCAAACTCTTTTACATGTTAAACTGTTTATAAAATTTATTCTTGATTATTAAATCTTTACTTTCAACTCTTTAAACTTATATGTTGCCAAACCATGTCTAATGCATATATAGTTATATAAGTAAGGTTTGAAGGACTTAGGACTGATAACTCACTTTATTTCCTGTTCCTTGTTTGGTTGTGGACTTAGAGTACCCTGTTGTTTGTCCGAATGTCGTTTGATCCTTACTTATATATCATGTATATATGTGTAGATATAAAGCTTTTACTTCAGTTCCAACCCTTTGGGTAATAAAGGTGTATATGGTAAGTTACTTAAATAACATTACTAGTAAACTATAATAGGTATAGTTTAGGAGTATACTACTCACTATCTCTAATACTATGAAACATACAAGGAGTCAGTTCATACATGAGTCAATACATACTGTAAATAATACATACACTACACTATAAAAATACATACTATTCATACACACTAAACTCTATACTAAAGAACCCACTATGATGAGGATCAGGAGAGAACATACACTACACTAGTACAAGGAATACATACACACTATAACTTAAATGTGAGGCACTATTTCGGGGCATGGCAACTCTGTCATGGCTCGACTTGTAACCAGAGTCTTCTGAAGGAAGAGCGTGAATTCGTGTATAGATCTATACTGGACTGACCGTCATACACCTTGCTGCTAGCTACAGTGGGACCTGCAGGTCTTCGGGTGATGAATGTCATACCATCTCGACGTCTTCGAGCGTCGTGTTTTACTAAGGTCGATCAAGTATGGTTACAATTACATCACATTATACCTTAATTAATAATTGGTTTAAGGTAGTTAGTATAATAGTAGTCACCTTCGTATAATACTATAGTACTTCGTTATTTTCCCGTTACATCTACTTTGTGATCTTCTCACATAAACAGTAATACAGAAACTATATTTTATCAAATGATAGTCACCTTTGGGAGAAATACTCACTTTAAAACGAATAAGCATGCAGTACTTGATGTCCTGGTAGAAGACTATTTTTAAATAGAAAATATAGGAGTTTCTAAGAGTTACAAACAATCACTACAAACATTCTTACAAACTTACACACTCAACCACTTACAAACTTTTCATGCAAGCAATGACACTAAAATACTTATGAACTCACCGGCTTTAATGCTGATAAACTCTTTCAAAATAACTTGTATTCTCAGGTCATCAGTAGACAGGTACAGAGACCAGCTTTTGAGAAGATGGAGCACTTTTCAAGACCCATCTTATTTTGATTCATATTTTTGGTGTCTTATAAACTGTACAGAACACGCTTGTATTAAAATTATACTATTAATGCAATGGATGTGGTTGCTTGTTTACTATTATGCTTTGTTGTGATACTATACATGACGTCCTCCGCCCCAGAACGTTTCCGCCGTTCCGTTTTTGGGGTGTGACAGATTGCTATCAGAGCACTGTTTATAGTGAATCGAGTATATCAACCCATAAAAGATATACAAACTATAAACACAACGGGATTAAAATACTCTGACCAAGATTTTATACTTTTAAAATATTTAACCAAGTATATATACCTGCATTCATACTAAAATTAGTGTCACTAGGACAGAACAAAAGTATTACGATTGTTGGACAACACAATCAGACTTAGAGACATATAGTCAACCCTGGGAAGATATAGCCTGATCAACTATATTATCCGAGGAGTGACTAGCATG